TAAGTATTTAAAAAAATTAATTGTTTTATAAATGGTATTTAAAATTTTTCAATTTCTAGTTGTCTTTGGTTATTATATAAAATACAATTGATTTTTGTGTACTGATACTGTAGCATTCTGCATCCTTGCTAAACTCATTAGTTATGTTAGCTTCTTTGTAGATTCCACTGGATTTCTTACATGGATGATCATGTTGTTTTTATTTTTATTTTTTATTTACTTATTTATTTTAAATAAGCCCCACACCCAACATGGAGCCCAATATAGGGCTTGAATTCATGATCCTGAGATCAAGGCCTGAGCTGAGATCAAGAGTCAGCACTTAATCAAATGAGCCACCCAGGTACCCCAATCATGTTGTTTTTAAATAAAGGCAGTTTTACTTTTTCTTTTCTAATCTAGATTACTTATTTCTTTGTCTTGCATTATTGCAATGACAAGAACCTCTAGTAAAATTCTGGATAGAAGTAGACTGAAGTCCTTTTATTGTTCTTGATCTTAATCAATCTCCTATTCAGTCTTAGACTGTTAATTATGATGTTAGCTGTAAGTTTGCTTTGGTCTATGCCCTTTATCAAGCTGAGGAAGTTCCGTTCTATATTTCTTTAATATACATATCCTTATATATTATATATCTACTTTTTATATTTGTGGGTTTGATTAAAACTTTAGCATATAGATTTTTGAATTCTTGTGTCTATGGTCATGAAAAATATTGATCCGTATTTTTCTTTTCTTGTAATGTCTTTGGTTATGATATCAGGAAAATACTTGCCTCATAAAATAGGTTCAATAGAATTCTCTACTCTTCAATTTTTTGATAGAATTTGTTTCGAAGTCATACTCTTTCTTCCTTTAAATGTTTAAAAGAATTTGCCAGTGAAGACTGGAGATTTTCTTTATAAGAAGATTTTAAACTACAAATTCACTTAAAAAATTGTTATGGGGTGCCTGGGTGGCTCAGGCGTTGGGCATCTGCCTTTGGCTCAGGTCGTGATCCTGGGGTTCTGGGATCAAGTCCTGTATCAGACTTCCTGCAGGGAGCCTGCTTCTCTCTCTGCCTATGTCTCTGCTTCTTTCTATGTGTCTCTCATAAATAAACAAATAAAATCTTTTAAAAAATGGATATAGAGCTATTCATATTGCCTATTTCTTCTTGAGTGAGTCTTAATATTTTGTACCTTTTAAGGAATTTCTCTATTTTTACTAAAATTACCAAAGTATTGTCTATGGTATTTTCCTTTTCATCCTTTTAATATCTTTAGAAACTATACTAATAACCAACTCTCTTATTGATACTGGTAATTTGTGTTATTTCTTTTTGTTTTCCCGATCGGTCTGGCTAAAGGCTTATCAAATTTATTATTTTTTCTCTGATCTCCAGCTTTTGGTTTCATTGATTTCTCTATTGTTTTTCTGATCTACTTAATAGTAACAAATTATTATATAATGTTTTAGTTTTTCCTGTATCTTGGGACATCTATATTTTTATCCAGTTATCTTTTTGAAGAAATATGGATCTTTTCATTTTTACTGTTAAATTTGTTATATTTATAATGTAATATTTCATACATATGAAAGACTATCTATAACTGGTAGGTTAAGAAGTACAATAAAATAAAAACCTATGAACTTGGTGGATTACTTCTATACCTGTCAGATTGCAGGGTAACTTATATTAAATTGTAGAGGGGGGCATCTGGGTGGTGCAGCCAGTTGAGCATCCAACTCTTGGTTTCAGCTCAGGTCCTGATCTCAGGGTTGTGAGATCAAGCCCTGTGTTGGGTTTCATTTGAGCATGGGTTCTGCTTGAGATTTTCTCTCCCTCAGTTCCTCATGCTCATGCTCATACACTCTCTAAGCTGAATAAATAAACCTTAAAAAAAAGTTGTAGAGGAAGTTGATTGTGTTTTTCTATGTACTAATTGTACCTAAGAAAAGTTGTTCTTAATATTAAGTCAGATTTGTCTGCCTTTTAAAGCTAACATTCACTGAGTGCTTTCTACATTTTTTATCAGTGTCCTAAGAAGCAGGTGTTGCTATCATCTCTTCTATAGTTGAAGTTTGCTTCAAGCCACATTCAACAGAAAACCCAACTCTAGCTTAAACACACATGGGTTTATTTTTCCCTCTCAATAAGAAAGTTTACAATTAACATTACAAGACTAGAATGGCAGAAAACAATTTTGTTTGTTTACATATGTATGTAATCTCTACACCCAGCATGGGGCTCAAACTCACCATCCTGAGACAGAGTTGCAGGTTCTTCCAACTGAGACAGCCAGTGGGTAGAGGAGAGGGTAGGAGAGAGAGAGAGAGAATCTCAAGCAGGCTCCATGCCCAGTGTGGAGCCCAACATAGGGCTCGATCTCCTGACCCTAAGATCATGACCTGAGCCAAAACTAAGAGTGAGGCACCAGGCACAGGCACTAGTCTTCTTTTTTCATATGGTCGTATAACACTTTATGTTGATAGGCCCTGGATTTTCCAACCATTTCCTAATTATTATTAGTTCTTTCAATAGATTTCTGTTGAAATACATCTTTTCTTGTATTTAAAAATGTGTCTTTATTTTTCAAATTTATTTTTATTTTTTAAGTTTTAATTTTAATTAGTTGGTGCTCATTACAAGTGCACTACTTACTCCTCATCTCCTATTTCACTCACTCCCCCCCCCTCTTTTTGGTAACCATCAGTTTGTTCTCTGTACTTAAGAGTCTGTTTGTTGGTTTGTTTCTTTTTTTTCCTCTTTGCTTATTTGTTTTGTTTCTTAAAGTCCATATATGAGTGAAATCATATGGTATTTGTCTTTCTCTGACTGACATATTTTGCTTAGCTTTAAACTCTCTAGCTCCGCCTATGTTGCAAATGACAAGATTTCATTCTTTTTTATGGGTGAATAATATTCCAGTGTGTGTGTGTGTATCACATCCTCTTCATCCATTCATCAATCAATGGACACTTGGGTTGCTTCCATATCTTGGCTATTGTAACTAATGCTGCCATAAATATAGGTATGCATATATCCCTTTGAATTAATGTTTTTGTATTATTTGGGTAAATACCCAGTAGTGTGATTGCTGGTTTGTAGGGTGGTTCTATTTTTAACTTTTTGAGGAAGCTCTATACTGTTTTCCAGAGTAGCTGCACCAGTGTGCATTCCCACCAACAATGCAAAAGGGTTCCCCTTTCTCTATATCCTTGCCAAAACCTATTGTTTCTTGTGTTGTTGATTTTAGCCATTTTGACAGGCATAAAGTGTCTCATCGTAGTTTTGATTTACATTTCCCTGATGCTAAGTAGTGATGAGAACCTTTTCATGTATCTGTTGTCCATCCATATGTCTTCTTTGGAGAAATGTTTGTTCATGTCTTCTGACCCATTTTTTTTAGTTGGATTATTTGATTTTTCACTGTTGAGTTTTATAAGTTCTTTATATATTTTGGATACTAACCCTTTATTTGATATGTCATTTGCAAATATCTTTTCCCAATCCGTAGGTTACCTTTTAGTTTTGTTGATTGCTTTCTTTGCTATGTAGAAGCTCTTTATATTAATGTAGTTCCAATAGTTTATTTTTGCCTTTTTTTTTTTTTTTTGCTTTCCTTCAGGAGACATATCTAGAAAGAAGTTTCTATGGACAATGTCAGAGAAATTACTGCCTGTGTTCTCTTCTAGGATTTTTATGGTATCTAGTTTCACATGTAAGTCTTTATTCCATTCTGAATTTATTTTTGTTTATGGTGTAAGAAAGTAGTTTAATTTCATTCTTTTGCATGTTGCTATCTAGTTTTCCCAACGCCATTTGTTGAAAAGACTGTCTTTTTCACATTGGATATTCTTTCTTCTTTGTCAAAGATTAATTCACTATATAATTATGGGTTCATATCTAGATTTTCTATTCTGTTCTGTTGATCTATGTACCTATTTTTGCATCATTACCATACTGTTTTGATGACTACAGCTTTATAATATAACCTGAAGTGTGGAATTGTGATGCCTCCAGCTTCACTTTTCTTTTTCAAGATTGCTTTATCTATTCAGGGTCTCTGTAGTTCCACACAAATTTTAGGATTATTTTAGTTCTGTGAAAAATGCTATTGGTATTTTAATAAGGATTGCACTAAATGTATAGATTGCTTTGGGTAGTATAGGCAGAAAATTGTGTCTTTACAAGTGATTTCTAGAAATAGAATTGAAATAAGGGCCATTTGCACCTTTTTTCTGTGACTTGTCCATATCTCGTCCTTTTTTTTTTTTCTGTAGGGTTATTGGCTGTTTCTCTATTTTTAAGAAACTATATATTAAACACATAACTGTTCATGGTTTAATTGCAATTATTTTTCTCGTGTAACATTTTGCTTTTGATTTAAAGATATATATGATCAGTTTAACAATATTTTTATTAACTGCATCTGGAATTTGAGTCATAGTTAGCAAGGTCTTCTACTATTAACAAATATTAGAAGATTTTTCCATCATTTCACTTTTTATATTTAGATCTCTTTCTCTTAGTATCAGTGTGATACATGAACATAATTTTGTTTTTGTCCTTATGGATATCCAATTAACCCAATATCTCCATTACAAAGATTTCCTTTTCCATGCTTAACTGAGATGTCATCTTTATCATACACTAAATTTGCACATGCATTTGAGACTATATAATGTTTTTCTATCTAATTTGTGTATCTGTCCATTCCTTCATCAATACCACATCACAGAGATTTTAAAACATAATTGAATAAGTTCTAGATATTTTAATATTTTAGAGAAGAATTTTTTCTTTTTCACTTTTTGTTTTTTCCAGCTGCTAGATAGAGGCTGTCCCCAGTTTTGGTCTCACGGTGCCTTTCCATCTTCCAAGCCAGTGATGACTAGTCAAATCTCTCTCACATCATAAAGTGACTGACTCTTTTGCCTTCTTTTCCCACATTTAAAGGATCTTTGTGATTGCATTCACTCCATTCTGATAAGCCAGTATAATCTCTTTATTTATTTTAAATTTTTATTAAATTTTAGTTAACATACAGTGCAGTATTGGTTTCGGGGTAAAATTCAATGATTCATCATTTACATACAACACCCAGTGCCCTCTTTAATACCCATCACCCATCTAGCCCATCCCCCACACACCTGCCTTCATCAACCCTCAGTTTGTTCTCTATCATTAAGAATAACATATGGTTTGTTTCCCTCTTCCTTTTTTTCTTTCCCCCATTCCCATATGTTCATGTGTTCTCTTCATTAAATTCCACATATGAGTGAGATCATATGATACTTGTCTTTCTTAGACTGATTTATTTCAGTTAACATAATACACACTAGATCCACCCACATCATTGCAAATGTAAGATTTCTTTTTTTTTGATAGCTGAGTAATATTCCTATATATATATATTTAACACCTCTTCTTTATCCATTCAGCAGTCAGTGAACATTAGGGTCTCTCTATAGCTTGGCTATTGTTGATAATGCTGCTATAAACATCAAGTTGCATGTACCCCTTCAAATCTGTATTTTTGTATCCTTTGGGTAAATACCTAGTAGGGCAATTGTTGGATTTAATTCTATTTTCAACTTTTTGAGGAACCTCCACACTGTTATCCAGAGTGGCTGCACCACTTTGCATTCTCACCAACAGTGCAAGAGACAAACCTATATTTTTAATATGCTGGGTAGTGATTCATGTATTCTCTTTATGGGAGTAACTTATGGGCTAGGGACTGTAACTGGACATGGACAAATATTTCATCATCTTGGCATCTCAACAGGAAGCACCTCATTGATTCTAACTCTACCAATTGGCTTTAACTTTTATCTCTTGCATCTGTTTCTCAGATTCCTAAACCCTCTAACCCCAACCATGACTATTAAGGAATTTGTAGTAAGTGAATTGATCCCCTTTTGCCTGGGACCTGCAGAGGGAACCTATTTAACATGAGCTTGGGAATGGATATATGAACAGACCAAGGTGGGTACTAGGATATGGGGATTGACTATTCAGTCCTATGTCATTCTCAAATGAGAAACTCACATTGGTGTCTCTGACCTTTGGCAACTGTGTACTGCAGAGTTGGAGTTTTAGTACACAAATGGTACAGGTTTTAAGTCCCATGTAGACAAGGAGCATAGTTTAGTTTTTGTTTTGTTTTGTTTTTCTGGTGCTTTCGTAGTACTTAGCAAAGTCCAAAATACATGACATGTGTTTAAGGAGCAACTGCTAGAGGACAAGATTTCTGAGCTATACAGGTGATTGTATGATGGGGGGAAGGAATTTTGGGACAAGCCTGGCCCAATCCCCACTTGAGTACCCTAGCTTAAGATTCCTTTATCTATCATACAATTTCTTGGCATGAGGCACAAGGGTTGAAATTGTTTTTGTTTTTTGACTTGTTTTGTTTTGCAGATGTGGGGGTTATAAGTCAATTATTTTTAGCTTTAATCAAGCTTTTGCATTCTAAATAGCAACTTTTTTTCAAAATTCCCTGAATTTCAAATCTTACTTTTCTTTTCCAATTCCAAGCCATATTATTCATTCAAATAAAATTTTCTTGGTAGTATTTCAAGGTATCCAATAAAGGCATAAAAATCTAAGAAATATATATAAAAATGAGGGAAAAGTAAGTTTTGACATTATTGTTATTTCTGATACAATGAAATGAACAAATTCCTTCCAGGAATGTGTGTGTTATGGGCCATCAAAACACATGAAAGTAAGTCACAAAAATCCACCACACATCTGAATATTTTAATCAAATAATACTCTCCATAGTGATGGTGGAAAGTATTTTTTTTAAAAAGGAAAATTGAACATGAGAAATCAAATACTCAGGTTGAAAGATACCTAACTGAGTCAGAAGTCAGGTTAAAGTTCCTTTTGCAGGTGTATATTGACTGATCTCAGGTACAAGTGGCTGAATAGCTCCTTTGTGCTGGCCACTTATGATGGGCACTGGGAGTACAAAGGTGAAAAAGACACAATCTCTTCTTTGGAATATCTTATTTAGTTTTGAATTACCAGACAAATGACCTACCCCAGATACCAACATCAGTGGATTAAGGTAAGATTGCTTTGACTTAAAAATTTCAGAATAGTTATTTTATGATAAAATCATCATGGCCTCACATACTTTTAAAAAATACAACTTGAGAATTTAATGTAATTAATATATTTAGTTACTTAAAACAAATCATTTCGAGTATATCATACAGATGTATATGGTCAACATTTAGTGTTTTTCTTTTTTTTTTGTTTTTTTTTTACATTTAGTGTTTTTCAGAGAAGATGATATATATTCTGCTTTTATTTTTGTCTTCATAATAAAACTGACAATGTAATGAAAGCTATATTGTTGTTTACAATTGTTTACCCTCACTCAGTAATTCTCAGCCTTTTTAATCTTATGTTCCACCATCATTATATCCAATAGATCTCAACAAATTAGAAATTAAAAAGCCAACACTTTCAGAAACAGTTGTATTTCATAAGTATTCTGTTACTAGTTTATCACTTATTGTCAATGTTAAGCCTATGAAAAAGTTATAGTAGAATTTAAGACTTAAAATAAGCAAAAATTATTCCTTTAGTAGTTGAAAAATCATATATGGTTGAGAATAAATTTTACTACCTTAGTAATGTAAAATACAAAGATGTTTAATAAAAAATATTCCCATCAATAGGCTTATGTGAAATTCTACATCAGAGAGACAAAATAGAAAAATATGTTGGTGTCCAGAGGTCAGGTGATATGGAATGGAGCTCATGGGGCACAAAATGTATATCAAGAACAGAGTTGGTCAAAAGAAATGAAGGAAGAAAAGTCAATAAATATTCCATAGTAAGCAGACTAATCAGGAAGGTGGACAAGAAAAACACTTGTACACATGGTAAGAAAGGATTATAAGAAATTTTGTTTAGGGTGACATGTATATCAAGTTACAGATCCCTGGAGCATAGTGTCAGAAAGACAGTATACAACGAACATAAGGGATAGCCAGTTATTAAAATTGTAATGTTAATGCTGTGTCCAATCTAGGTTCTAGTAGATAAGGGAACTTGTGGCCTCACCATGGTACTTGGATCCCATGGTACTTGGATGTCTTAAGGTATGTTGTGTCTCAGTGCTTTAAAATAATGTTTTAGTTTGTGAGATATTCGCAATGATTTCAATTATTTGTCTGAGATAAAATTTATTTTACTTCCTAATGTAAGAATGTCTTGCTAAATTTAACTCCATCTATAAAAATCAGCATTTTAAAAATGAAACAATTAGAAGTAAATTTATTTACTTTACAAATACAGGATTTATTTTTCTTAATTTTTTCAATTGTCTCTGTCATTTCACATATTTATATTATCTGCCTACCTGTGTAAGTATCTGAAATTTTGGGCATCTTCAAACAAATTTGGTGTTTTATTCCATTTGTGAAATGTTCAGTCTAAGTAGAGCTGATTGTCTTTTCACCAACAGCTCTACTGTTTGAACTTGTTTGGAACCAGGGAAAATTATGTCTCTATGTGGCTTTTTGAAATCCTTGTCTAAAATGAAACTTGGATTAAGGCCCTTCCTTGTCCCCAGAGGTCTCAGCAGAGCTTAATTAGATATTAAGCTCTTTCTTGACAGCAAGTAGAAAAAAGTAAGTCAGGTTGTATATTTTCTGAGGTCTCCTTAATAATACACTATTGAATATGTAGTGAGACAAGGGTAATAAAAAACAAAACTGAAGGATTATAAAAATGTATTTTACACATAGTAAGAAAAACATTCCATAGCATACTAAGTACTCTTTATTTCCCTTAAATGTTGTCTATCTCTTTATCTCTTATTCTTTCTCCAGTAGTAGCTATCTGGGCTACCCAACCTAGGATTGACAACTTTTTTCATCCCATTAAATTTAAGAGAGCTTAAATATGGTTTTCTCTATATATGAATCCTTAGTTTGGTCTCCTACTTTAATTAAAGCAAGGTGGTTATCCTTTACTCCTATAAACACTCCAGGATTGTTCTTACATTCGAATGAAACACATTTGGAAGACTTCCTATGAAGGAGGAAGAAGGCCTGGTCTGGCAATTGGTTTTCACATTTTTGTAGCTGAGGAAACAAGAAAGAAAGCAATTGGTATGTAAATGGGAAGTCCAAAGTCAACCTTACCTCCCTGTATTAGAAACTAAAGGGGAATGATTATAACTTAGTATCTTTGGCAAGACTACTTACTAAGTAGGGGATGGGAGTGGTAGAGAAGGAAGAAATGAGTAGGGAGGGCTGAAGTGGAGGGGGGTGATTTGATTTGATTCCCTTATAATCAGTATACCTTGAGAAACATTATAGCTTAGAATGACTGGATTTGGATGCAGCAGCTCAGGATTTGTGTGAAACTTTTGCCATGTACTATCTCTGAGACGTGCACATTGCTTTACTTCTCAAACCTCAATTTTTTTAGTCTAATCAGTTTTCTAGATTAGTCAACCTCCAACTTACCAGCAGATAATGTGAATGATATAAGTGATCATTATTTTAGGTTGATAAGTTTTGGGGACGGTTTGTTATACTGTAATATTTGAACAGTACAACAACTCCATTATAGAATTACTACAAGAATGAAAGGAAACTGCATGTAAAACATTTAGTACAGTAATTGGCATGTAATAGAGCTCTGTATGGGGTCAGCTCTTATTATTGAGTAGTTATATATGTCCAACTGTTATATACACTTAGGAATGTTTATTAAGGGAGATGCTGGTTACCATCCAGTGTTTATGTTAATACTTTAGCTGGCTGTATTAGATTTATAATTTTGTATTTATGTCATTTGTCATCTGTATTATAGTCTTATGTTTTCTTCCTGGTCCCTATCTTTGGCCTGAAGATATTTATATTGTTATATTGTTATATTGTTTCTGAAGATATTTATAGTTTTTCATCATGACCAATATTACACTGTAACTTACTAGCTGAAAAGACTATGCAGTGAATCCTATGATTAGAATGTGATTGTTATGCTTTCGTTGTAAATATTGGCATATGGAAATGTTTATGACTTTCCCTTTAGCAGGCTCAGAATGTAAAATTATTTTTGAATTTGCCTAAGAAAACTATATTTTATCAAGAAATACTTCCTGGAAGAACAAAGTTGTTCCTCAAGTCAAATAAAGAGGATTTGAGATAATTCTATATAGCGATGCTTCTCAAACTTTAACGTGCATATGAATCTCTTGGAGATTTGTTTAAATGCTGATTATGATTCAGTTGTGAGGAAGCCTGAAATTCTGCATATCTAACAAACTCCCAGGTGATGCTGCACTGCTGGCAGAGACCAAACTTTCAGTAGCAAGGCTATATATGCCATTTCCTTCCCTTCTGTACTCCAGAAGCAAGTTATTAGTAGTAACTTACTGTGTTTTACATATAATACACAAACAAAACTTCTTTGAAATATTCTGAATACGCAAATCTGTACAAATGTGTGGAATAAGTTACAGCAGTTAAATGCATATTTCTATTACCTCCACAGAATGTTCCTCGTTGTTGGCATGCAGCAAAAAATCTTTATCTTTTGTAGGACTCAGGTTTACCAATAACGTCTGGCCATCAACATCATCACCTTGCAATTAAAAAATAATAATTAAAAATGTAAATTATAAAGTTAAGAATTAACTCACTTTAATTTAAATAAATTTAACACCTAGGAAAAGAGTTCAAAATATGATGGAAAATAATTGCTTCATTACCCAACATATCCTTTAGAAGTATTTGTACCCAAATGAAACCAAAGAGTCATTGGACAATTTGGGGGTAATTTTAAGCTCCTTAATTTTCTTATATCCTTTCTGATTGTAGAACTGTGATTCTATTGGGTATTTGTCTGGGTGTCAGCTTCTCTGTCTGCATGTAAAGCCTCTGATAGTTGTCTCCCATCTACCCTCCTTGTATAATAGAACATTTCTCAGTCTGTTTTCTTGTAACTAAGTGTAGCAATGTGACTAAGTTTTGACCAAGATGAGGTGAATGAAGTGTCAGGTGCAACTTCAAGGTTTTATCCTTTATGGGAAAGAGAACTCATGCATCTGTCTTCCTCTGTCCTGCTGATTGGGCATTGCCATGGTAGCAAGTAATCTTGAACCATGTAGGTTTTGGCAGAGTCAAAGAGAAGGAGCAGGGTTAGTTGCTGGACAATCTGTTGAGCAAAACTGCCATTCCAGTCCTGGCTAAGATAAAAATAAGATTTTTGTAGCTTGAGCCACAATTATTCTGGATCTCTTTTAAATGTAAACCTTTATCCTAATTATTAAACTGCACAATCAATGGGAGGGAATAAATCCTCTAAGAATCTAAGATTTTACCATGAATGTGGGCTGGAGAGAAACTTTTGAGGCTGCTTTCCTTTTTCGTGGAGGATTTTTGGATTTGTCCTTACCTCAAATTCAAGAATTCAAGCACTACAGCTACCCAGCCCTCCAAATTACCTGTTTCATGTGAGGGGGATTGGGAATCATAATAACGGAATAACACCTTATCTGAAAGAGAATGCATAAAATCCCTTTGATGAGACAATTCTATCAAAAGGTTTCAATTTCAACATACATATAACTTCAGAAAATACCTTATTTTATTATATATCAATAAAAGCAAAACTTTTGTGATTTTAAGGTCTCAAAAATGTATAAGTATGCTCTGATAAATTCTCTAACACAGTTATTATTAAAATATTTAGCATATTTTTTTATAGCACTGGTATATTCCTTTACTTGAGGGTGTACTTTGGTGACATTGATAAGGCTAGAAAGATCTAGTAGGTAATTTAGCAATAGCAAATATGTGCTGTCTCTCCTTCCATCTTTTACAACAAATGCCACTTCTCAACATCAGCATTCTTCCCTAAAAAACCCTGACTAAGCTTCTGAATCCTCCTCAACTTAGTGGTATTTAGGCATTTGCTGCCAATTCATTGGAGTTAGTAGACAGCATTAAATCTATTTGCCATATCTGAGGTAAGCCAGTGTTTATGGTTTGGTAAATTTATTATTATTATTATTATTATTATTTTATTATTATTATTATTAAGAGAGAAAGAGAGTGGGGTGGGGTGGAGCTGGAGGGACAGGGGCCAAGGGAGAGGGAGAGAGAATCTTAAGTAGGCTTCACGCCCAGCACAAGCCTGATGTGAGGCTTGATCTCAAGACCCTGAGATCAATGACCTGAGTTGAAATCGAGAGTCAGAAGCTTAAACTGGGCCACCCAGACACCCCTTGGTAAATTTATTTTTTACTTTATTAGTCATCATTATATCATTATAGACAAAAGGAAATATTCTACCTTTCTCTTGGCCTTTTCTCAAGTCTTCTACATAGATCTCATAACTTCCATCCTCAAAAGCGAAAGTAATAGATTGATCATTGTATGTGCTCAGAGAAGCAGAATATTCTGTAACAAGTGAAAAGCTTGTCATTAAAAATTCAAAAAGACTTGTTCCCATGAACAATCTTTCACAATTAAAAGGAAATGCTTCCTTCAAGGCTTTTTTTTTTTTTCTTTCCAATTTGAGCTGCACTTTGCTCACCACTGTTGGATAGATAAAAGCCTTTGGCACAAGCTTAATGTAGCTCAAAGGGTAAGGTGTGCCACTTGAATGGGATTAAAGATGGTAGTCTCTTGTTTGAAAATCATAGGTATAGGTCATATTTGTGTGCTTATGGGAGGATTTGGTGGAGAGAAAGTAGCTGGAAAAGTGACAGACTTTGCCTGAGGAAGCCTCTGCTTTTTTGCTTCTTACGGTCAGGGGGACTGTGGACAAGAAGAGACTGTATTTTGATAGACATGGTTACATGAATACTCATCTGTAAGGTGTGGAGTTACTGAGGAACTTCCAACAGTACTGGAGGGTGTGTCTGTCCTCTGGCTAAATAACAGTATTCCTAACTTTTTAAAATATGTCCCAGCACACATAGAAAATGATAATATTTCTATGGCATGCTGGGATAAACTGGTGTAGAATTAGGTACTACCTATGTTGGTCCTGGAGAAAAAAATTATATTTTCTTTATTTTATAGAATTACGCTAGGAAAAATAATATACAAAACAGAAGCATGTTAAATATTGAGTCTGTATATGAAATTCTAAAGTAAAATGATTTAAAAATACTTAATGAGAAACTTGAGTATGCTTTTTGGAACTTAAGACATTTATAACAGGATTATGCTTGAAATAGCAATGTGCAATTCCTGGTCAAATTAATGATCTCTTCACTTCTTGATGGTCAGCATCAATTTGGACTTTATTTGCACAAGTAGGTAATACAACTTAAAGCCATTTTAACAATTATTTAGAATATTTAAGAATTGAAATTATATTTTTAAAATATAATAGTTCTTCATTTTCTTTTAGTGTCAAAATGATGAGGTTGCGGGGGGGATATGGTTGCCCCCCGACCCCAAAGGATAATATATTTTCCCCAGGAATAATGTATATGAGATTCCAATCCATAACAAGCATTTCAAAATAATGATAGAGGGCCAACTAAAGCCCTCTATCCCTGCCCACATTGTCAGGGCAGCTACTTTGTACCTAGTTTGAATACCACTAAATGGGTATGTGGGCAGCAAATAGGCAGAAGTTTCTGTTACACAAATAAGCATAGACATGGAGCTGCTTCCTAGAGGAGCACTTGCTGTGGTCCTGTGTCTATCTCCCTCCTCACACCCACACCACCCCTATCAGCAGTCATACCTTGGATACTTGGAACATTAGCTCTTCCAAAACATTTCTGTAACATAGGGACATCAGAGGTGAAATCTTTGTTCAGCTGCTGATGACAGGCAGTGAATACCAGACATTGCTTTCTGCACTTTTCAGCTACAGGACAGAGGGAGAGTAGGAGTGGACTGTCAGTTCCCACCCTGCCCAAACCTTTTTACCCCTCTTTGAGGATTCCCAGTCAAAGATACTTGCTGGGACTGACCCCCGGACTAAGCCTCTCCACAGTCTGAAGTGATCAATACCTCCTGCACACTTAAAACCCCAGTGGGGCATACCCATTGGAATCCAGGTGGAAGAAAGCTAGTTACCCATGGTCTCAACACCCCAAAAAATAACTGCTATTAACATTTTACTTTAATTCCTTTAAATGAAAAAAATCTCTTAAAAATATTGTAGATATATTTATAATTTTATATCCTCTATTTTCACTTAATATTATAACATACCCATTTCTCCCATGCTATAAAAACTCTTTATATAAAAAAAAACCTCTTTATATGTCCTATTGAAAATGGCTAAAAAATAGTTCAATATTCTTACTTTTTTTTTCAGAAGGAAAATTTGCTCAAGGGAAAAATTATATACCCAAAATGTTGTAAATAAAGGCAAATAGATGCCCATTAATATATTGAAGAAATACCAGGAAATGTATAGTTTCCCCTTACCTGTTCTTGGTGAATACCTTTTGGTGATTTCTTTCCTAAAGTAACAGGATGTCTTTTCTATGATAAGGCCAGAACGCAGTTGCATAAAGTACATCTGGCAAACTTTTTCAGGCTTCTGTTGGGATTCTAAACAATTGAAAAATTTTGAGACTGTTTCACTCCATCCATTTTTATCCTTTTATCTTTACACAAATCCTGAGTATACCAAACCAGGAAATCAACTAAAGGTCTGCAGTATCTTATCAGAAACCTTGGGGCCAGTTGTGTTTCAAAATTCACAGTTTTTTTAGATTTTAGAATTGTCATGTAGAGTATATGCTATTATATATGTCATACTCCCAACAGGGATTAGGGCAGTACTCACATCGTAAAAAATTAATACTGATTTTATAGTGAAATATAGGAACATTTACATAAGGTGAGATAAACATTTCATGTTGGTTCAGGTCAGAATTTAACTGTCAAATATAATAAGTTCAGATCATATTTTATTACCAAATAAGTTATGAAAAATTAGGTCTTTAGAAAAATTTTGGTTTTCAGAATTCTATATAAGGGAGTGTGGATCTACATCCAATATATATCATTCTTTGTCTGAGGGGGAACTTATATGACCATATGAAATCTATAATCTTTTTTACTTATCTGGAATACACTTTTAATAATTTTACAGGGATAGCTATAGTCTCTAGAGTTTATTGATATTAAAAATAATTGGTCCATGTTAAACAGGAGGAAAGGAACCTTTTCCCCTAAACTCCTAGGAGTTTCATGGTTTCAGGTCTTACATTTAAGTCTTTAATCCATTTCAGGTGAGTTTTTGTGAGTTCTTTTACATGTGAATATCCAGTTTTCTCAGCACAATTTATCGAAAAGACTATCTTTTCTCCTTTGAGTATTCTTGGCTCCCTTGTCAAATGTTAGGGTGTCCACGGTGGGCCAAGCACTGTGCTAGTAATTTTATATAATATTTCACTTAATCCTTTACACTAATATTACAAGGAAATTATTATTCTTCCTATTTTGCAGATGATGACCTAAGGCTCTTAGTAGTCATGACACTTGCCCAAGATTACAGGTTTCGTGAGAAGTTTTGACTCAAGTATGTCTAATATTAAAGCTACTCTTTCCATCCTTCCACCTAAGAAAAGAAAATGCTGTACTGCAATACAGTACAGTTCCTGTATTTAGGAACTGACATTATACAAATAAATCCAAGTTAAATCAGTTAAAAATTTAATCACCTATTTAGTAATACTTATTCAGTCAAAGAAAAAGTCTCAAACAAAAAAATAAATTTATTACTTGGGAATTCATAAAAGGCCTTTCATAGTGAAACAGAAAAGAAAATTGTAACACTGGAGTCATGGCATCTCAACTTTTAACATAGTAAGTGAATTATCAAGCAATTTGTACAATAGAGCCAATTTTCAATTATTCACAGTAGTTCAGAAAATGAAAATAGTTACTTGTGACTTTGAGATCCATTCTATGATTTTTTTCTAATTCTCTAAAAGATTTGCTTTCCTGATATGTTTTTCAAGGTTAGTAGTAGAGTTAACCTCTGTTATAGAGAATTCAAAATAATAGCTATCTTGCCTCCAGTTCAGATGGGCATCTACCTTTAAGTATCTTCAACTGTCTGAACAGGGCAAGACCCCTTAATTTTACTCACATTTATCCTGAAACTTCCCAACATTGCATTACAGCTTATAAATATCAACTATAGTATTTCATATTTATGTAGTGCTTTTACAATTGCAAAGATAATTTATAAAGCTAGGTGTGAGCCAACATTGAACTTGGTCTCCTGATAAGTAATCTACTATAATACTTTATTAACTGTAACACATCGTCTCTCCAGGCCCAAAGGGCATAAGGTAATATTGTAAGGATGCTCATTCCTTGTATGCTTATCTTTATGTTATAGTCAGAATCCCATGGGACATGACTGACAGGCATGTCTAATATTGAGAATGGACTCTCTGGAGAGCAGGATGTGGGTCTTGGGTAGTTAGAAGTAAGGGTACTGAGGAAGCATTATGGGTGTAGAAGTAGAGAGGGGCTAAAGATATTAATGTAGGGGCTAGCATCTAGTGGGACAAACACTGGGTATACTATATTGAGGCGCGATTACATTTGAAGTATTGAAGCTACTTAACATTGGGGAATTTGGAAGAAGGTATACTTTGGTGTTTGGGGAAGCTGAAAGTGTGATGTGAGGGTTGTGTTCTCAGATGGGAAGCACAAAGCTGGCATGGCCTTGGGGACTCTGTGGAAGAGAGTGCTCCACTGGGGTCAGAGGGTCAACGCAAGCTTATGTAAGGGCTGTTGTCACTTCCTATGTCTATATCTTGCCTGATGTCTGAGGGCAGTGTCTTAGCATGGCTTGTAAGGAAATTCTCATGAGTAATTTCATCATAGCAATAGCATGATGAAATCCCTCACGTAATTCTGGTGAGTAAATGGGAAGGGACCTGGAAATCTTCCTGTAGTTCTTCCACTGAAAGAGCCAGACTGTGGCTGATGGGAAAAACATAAGTGAATCACTCATCTTTCATTTCTTCCCCAAACACCTATTTCACCAAGGTTTCTTCTCACTGCTTACTACCCTTGATTTATCTGTGGCATTTGACTTTGGGAACCACATATTTCTTTAAAACTCTTCTTCCCCTATTGTCATGTCACCAGTCTTCTTAGGTTCTTGTTTTTCTCTGATCATCCATTTCTCTTTCTCTGTTAGTTTTTCCTTATCTGACTGCTCCTAAAATGTTTGTGCTCCTCAGTATTTGTCCTTTGCCTCTTCCTCTACTCAAGACTTTCTTTCTGGGCAATACTGCCTGCTCCAATGACTTCTGTCACCCCTAATATGCTGATGCCTCTCCAAACTGTAACTCTACCTTTGGTCTCTCTCTTGAGGCTTGTGTCTATTGCTTTTTCTTCACAGGGTATTTTGACTTCAGTTAGCTTGAGGCATCTCTGTATCTATCTGTGGAGAGTGTTCAGAATTCTGGACCTCTCTACCTAAATGACCTACATTTACCCCCATTCAAATATACTCATAATAAAAAAAATCTTTATTTTTCTCTACCTACTATATATATCCTTCCTGAATTCCTATCTTGAAAAAGTACCACTTTCTACCATTGTCTGCCCAATTCTTAGGTCATCCTGAAAGCTGAGAATCATCTATTTTTTCCTCTCTGTCCATCCTTCAATTTATTTGATCTGGCGTTAAATCTTATTGATTTCACTTTCTGAATGTATCTGACATTTAATCCTTACTTTCCAATCTGTTCTCTTAGGTCAGGCCCTCATCTTCAGTCCCTTAGATGAATGCAGCAGACCTCTAAACCAGTTTTTTCTATTCTTGCTCCCTCACTCCATCTTTACACCAACATCAATGTGATCTCTCTAAAAATATCTTGTTATTCCCCAACTGAATGTTTTCTATGATTTCTTACTGTCCATAGAATAAAGTTGAAGCTCTTTCACTGTAACAGAAGATATTCCATGGACAGACCCAAATTAACGGGTGTGACCTCTACTCATTTTTTATGCAGTTATTGCCATGTAGGGATATGTGCCCAGTGTTGCTAGGTGTTCAGGTTTTTCAAGAGATTCAGATTTTTATACACAGTCTTCTAATTTTAAAATGTTCCCTCAATTAAAAAACAACAATAATAGTGTTAAGGCCAAATAAAATGTTTCTGCTGGATGGATCTGTCCCAAGGCCTCCATATTGTTCTGACTAGATCCCTAAGGAAGCTGGATTATCAGGGCAGGGAAAGGGTTGATGGATGTAGAGGACTTAAAGTAGCAGAGAAAAATGCCCTGACTCTGGGAGCAGCTTCCTGGAAACTGGGAAGAGAATGAATTTGGGGAGGGGCTTTTCTCTAGCTCATTACGTCTTGTACCTTGTTGGCACTAGAGGTGAAATACTCTGGTGATGACCCAGACTGATATGGAACCTGTTTGTATGTGTACCTCTAGTGGGTGGATATTGGGTTTTGTGATGTTGTGATTGTGTCAGATCCTGCTAGCCCAAAGTTAGGAGAAGGAACTAAAACAAGCTTTCTTGCTTTGTTGCTTGGGGGCTCAGAGCAGTTCATTTAGAAAAATAAGATATGACGTTGCTTGTACCTTGAATTTTGAGAACTGGTTCATACCTGCCACGCACTTTATAGATATCTGGAAATTTTGGCCAAGAGTATCTAAATAATGACAATCTTAGTGTTAAACTGAGCCAGTATCTTTGGAAAAGAAGATCTGCTAAGAGACAATGAAAAAAATGTGCTGCATTCCAAAGCTATATAAATGGTTTGGGGATTATCTTTATCACTTTTTAAATGGTATAAATGAGCTGTTAGGGCCATAGCACCCTTAAAGGAGGGGTTACATTTTAATTTTTGCATCAATGCCAGCAACTCCGACATAAACTCCAGCCTGCACCCTCATGTTTCTTTCTTTCTTTTTTCTCCTTTCTTTCTTTCTTTCTTTCTTTCTTTCTTTCTTTCTTTCTTTCTTTCTTTCTTTCTTTTCTTTCTTCTTTCTTTCTTTTCTCTTTCTTTCTCTCTTCTTCTTTCATTCTTCATTTTCTTTTTTTCTTTGTTTATAAGAGAGAAAGAGCATGGGGCCCCTAGAAGGCTCAGTTGCTTAAGTGTCTGCCTTTTGCTCAGGTCATGATCCCAGGATCCTGGGATTGAGCCCCTGCATCGCACTCCCTGCTAAACTGGGAGCCTGCTTCTCTCTCTCCCTCTTCCTGCCACTCTGCCTACTTGTGCTCTTTGTCTCTCTCTGTCAAACAAATAAAATCTTTAAAAAGAAAAAAGAGAGAGAGAGGGCATGCACATGACAGGTTGGGGGAGGGCAGAGGGAATTTATTAAGAGGGAATTTGAAGACACAGAGTCAGTTCCACTGAGTCACTGCTTCTATACACAGCATTTTGACTCAGACACAAATAAAAGGACTAACTTAACTGTGATTTTCTGGCCATGCAAAAACCATAGTCAAATGAATGTTTTCCCTGGTTACTAAAACCAGCACGAGTGGGCCAGAGCCTTAGAGAAGACAGAAAATGATATTCTTTAACATTGCTTTCTCTTCTAGCCTTAAAGAGGTTCAAGGAAATGAGGAGAACAAAGGACAAAGGCATACCAGTCCCTGCCATCATTCCTCATCTTCTATTTTTCTCTCTAGTTTGGCCCGGGTTCCATTACTTTCTTTTGTGTGCCCTCTTTTGTATGAAAAAAAAATGTGAGTATAAATTTGCATAATTCTTTTCTAGGGTATGTATTTTTAAAGATTTATTTATTTACAAGAGAGAGTACATGGGTGTGTAGGCACATTCGAGTGGGGGAAGGGGCAGAGGAAGAGAATCTCAAACCAACTCCTGCTGAGTGCAGAGGTTGTTGTGGGACTGGGGGACTGGATCTCACCACACCGAGATCATGACTTGAGCAGAAACCAAGAGTCGGGCACTTAACCAAATGAGCCACCCCGATGTTCCCTAGGATAATTTTCAGGATCAAAGATATAGCCGTTTCATCTTAAAGCTATGGCTACTACCTGACTTTATTTACCCTTCAATTTATTACAAATCCTTTGAGTTTGCAATTGGATAGACTCGAGCATCATTTGATCAATTCTGCTTTATTTGAAGCATGGATATCTTCATGCCTCTTCAAATATCTTCACTTCTTATTCTCTCCTTTATCAGAAGTTGCAAATCAAGACCACAGTTTGATATATCAAAGGTGTATATTTTATAAACAATAAATGTTGGTTGAATGAAGATCAGTTTAAAATTTTGTTAATCTAGGAAAAAGATTTTGAGATTATTTGGAAAGAGGTGGGTAGAGAGAAGGAAGGCTATGTATGTTTATCACTATTTATCACTATTAGCAGGTAGCATATATGAACATCAGAATAATAAGAATTTGATAACAGATAAAAATAGTGTGTAAACCAAGAAATGTTTAAGTCCTTACTTCTCAGTTTAGGAGGTTTTACCAAAGCCTTGTCTGCTGAACTGTTCATCTTTGCTGGGGGGATTTTCGTGGTTGAATACTTCATTTTAGCCTTTGTTGTTGAAGCTTCTGTGGATTAAAATGTAATATTAGTTCAATTGCCTCAATTTGAAAATAAACAGAAACAACTGTGACTAACTCAGAATAACATTAATAACATAGCCACATAAAGAAAATAATTATTTCAGTAAAATTTGAATATAGTTTTCTGAAAGTATATCCATATTAGAATACATTCAGAGGACAAAAAGAACTACAAGGAATTCTTAAACTTCACTTAGTGGGCTTATTGTTCGTAGTATTGTTGATATTGGGATTCTGAATGTTTTTGCTATACTATAGGATAGAGCAAATAAGTAGATGTATTGATATTATAAAATTTTTACTGCAGGATACAAATACAAAATATAAGAAGTCAAGGGAAAATCTCTGTAATGTTAAATCTGAATCAGCAATATTAGTGTGCCCATATCTTAGTTTCTAAATACTTTTTCCACTAAAGGGAACCAGGACTTGCTAGGTCTGGGCTCAGAATGTAGAAGTAAATATGGAATATTCAGTTATGCCAGAAAGTAGTCATTCAAAAATGTGTGAGTTTGTGTCCAAAGGACACAGGAGCTCCCTTAGAGGGTTTCTCACTGGCCAAATTTGGCACAATTTGAGTATCAGAAAGAATAATGATAGTAACTCACTATAAAGTATTTATTGCAAAAAGAAACCCACTAGTCCATAGCATTCCTCAAGAATGAATAAACAAGGGATTTATTCATTACAGAAGGAATGATAGAATCAGAAAAATAAGTCTTGTACACCCCAATGTAATATTTGATTCAAGCAAGGATCATCAGTCAATGTTGTGCCTTGAGTATAAAGCTGGGTCAGGGTACCTTACTGTAAGAATATTGCATTTTCTATTATAAATTGTAGGAAGCCCCATATTAATTCAGTAGGGTACCACTGCCTGGCCTCATCATCAAGGTAAGGTAGTGGTGCTTTGAATTGTGGAGGGAACAGGACTTCTCCAGTCTTAATTCTCCTTTACATTGCTTGAAATTCTAATAGTTACTTCTACTTGGATTAAGCATTGCCTTTTTTTCCCTAGATTAAAAAAAATATATTCAGTTTATCCCAGGAGTGGTTGCTATTTAAATCTTTTACAAACTTTAAATGAATCAGCTTTTCTAGAAGGATAAGGGACATTAGAGGACTCCTTGGAAGATAAACTTCATGCAACTTTAATTTTTTTCTGAACAACCTTGAATAGATTGAAATTAAAAATTGTCTTGTTTAGATGGAACTAGAATCTTACATGCAACCATCCTATTTATAACTGGCTTTATGAACAAAAATCTTCAATGGAGAATATTTAGAAGCAGAGAACCTTAGATATCATTTTGTCTGAGCCCATAAATCTATGAATGATTAGGCTAAGACTGAAAGATAATGTGCCTTACCCAGGATCACAAAAGCAATACTGGGACCAGAATCTAGTCTGATTTCCATCTTTAAGCTAGAGCTTCCACACAATGTCTTCTATTTCCCTCCTCCAAATGTAGGAAGCAAATAATCAGAACCTGGAATTTAACTTCAAATGCTTGGTCAGTTGTCCAACCTCTTCAGAAATAGTAAATTTCTAAATATGGTAGTTAATTGGTAATCATAATGTAGAAGAGTGCAGTTAGGTAATCTTACTGTAGTTAAATTTTAAGTTTTACAGAAAATAGTTCAAATAATACCCTGCCCTCAGTGGGTATGCAGCTAACACTTTACTGATAACATGAACATTGTAATGCTGGATTGGTTTTTTTTGTTTGTTTGTTTGCTTGTTTTCTTTTTTATCCAAGGATCCTTACGTCCTACAGAGAAGTTCTCCTGGATGGACATTTCAAAAAAAAAAAACAAAAAACAAAAACAAAACCCGCAACATGGGGATCCTTGGGTGACTCAGCGGTTTGGCGCCTGCCTTTGGCCCAGGGCGCGATCCTGGAGTCCCGATGAGTCCTGCGTCGGCCTCCCTGCATGGAGCCTGCTTCTCCCTCTGCCTATGTCTCTGCCTCTCTCTCTGTTTCTATGTCCATCATGAATAAATAAATAAAATCTTTAAAAAACAAAACAAAACAATCAACTTCTAAAAATAAAAAATTAAAAAAATTAAAAACCCGCAACAAACTGTTGCATTTTCAAATAAATCTGGGAAATGTTTCTATCTATATTCCACCTCTTGTGAAGTCAGAACCACATTAGCATAGTAAAGATGTTGATGATTCATGGTACTTTTGTTTAACTAATTATTTTTGGTAATTATTTGATCTTGTAACTTCTCCCTCTACCTCTATGAACACCCCAGTTAACATGGACTATCTATTAACATAGACTAATTTGAGATAACACACGTGGGGATCTCTGCTCTAAACCAAATTAGCTTTCTGATTTGAGCAATATAGATAAGAAATGAATACATTTACAATGGAATGACTGACAGAGAAAATCAGATGCTTTTAAAGAATTGAATGATGAGTCAAAAAGCATAGTGAGGAAATAAGTATTTTCAAACCCTATTCTAAAAACAAAACATTTTCTTTAAACCTACAAATCTTTTACTTTAAAAAAGATTTTTAAATTGTTTTCACTATTTTTTCAGACTTAAAATTTACTCTTTACTCTCCTATTTTTAAGTCAGAGATATTTCAGAATAAATAGCAATATAAAAACCACTTGTTCTTTCACGCTGCTTTTCCCAGTTACAGGCAAGTATTCTTGCACACTGGTTATGATAACTTACCTTAATTATAAACATGAGGGGCTGGTCTCAAATAGTGAAGTTTCTTGTCATCAGCATTTGATAATATTTGATGCTATATTCCAACTCTACTTATATATATGCGCTTGGATTAAGCAACATTGGGTGGCAGTGTTTGATGAATGAGGCAATGCAAATAGTGCTAGTTGAATGGGTTAGAATGAGTGGGAGTATATCTTATTTCCACAGCCAAATACTAAACAGACCTATTAGATTATTTTAACTGCAACACTTTCAATGAGTTATACTCAGTTAATCATTAATTTTTATGAAGCCTCTATGACATGGACTCTAGGTACTGTTTATTGCTTTAATGTAGAGCATGCAAGGGCACAGACTTTCATTACCTTTTTCTTTTCTTTTGGGAAGTCGAAAACTTTAGGTAATTTTTTTCTGATTATAAAAATGATGATGTACATTCAGAAAATGGATAAATGATAGGAAAGCAGATATGCTATATTTCCTGACATTCTTTTTCCAATACAGAAATACTATGCATACCAATTTTTTTCACAAAAGAAGAGAATCTACTGCAAGTATTATTTTGTAAGCTGCTTTTTTGATTTTCCAATTAATGTCAGAAACATTCTTATACAGGAAACATTATAACTAACATTCAATCATATAAGTATACCATAACCAATCTTTTATTGATTAACACTTTGGCTGTTTCTGTTTTGTTTTTTAAAGATTATTTATTTATTTATTCATGACAGACAGAGAGAGAGAGAGGCAGAGGGAGAAGCAGACTCCAAGCAGGGAGTCCGATGCGGCACTGGATCCCAAGTCTCCAGGATCACACCCTGGGCTGAAGGCAGCGCTAAACCGCTGGGCCACCAGGGCTGCCCTGTTTTGTTTTTTTCCTTTCTTTTCTTCTTTCCTAATATCACCAATGTTGCAACTGACATCTGTGTGTGTGTGTGTGTGTGTGTGTGTGTGTTGTGATTCTTGGTAAACTTTTGTATTTTCATTAGTAGTACAAATTCCTAGTAGTAAGATTGCTGAATCAAAGGCTTTGTGCAGGGGATCCCTGGGTGGCTCACAGGTTTGGCGCCTGCCTTTGGCCCAGGGCTCGATCCTGGAGTCCTGGGATCGAGTCCCACGTCAGGCTCCCGGTATGGAGCCTGCTTCTCCCTCCTCCTGTGTCTCTGCCTCTCTCTCTCTCTCTCTCTCTCTGTCTGTCTATCATAAATAAATAAGTAAATATTTAAAAAAAAAACCAAAGGCTTTGTGCATCTTATATGCTGATATTACCCCTCTGAATTTCTAAAATTTGTACTGGTTTATAATTTTTTCAATGATCCAGGTGAATGCTCTTTTTACCATTGCCTTAGCAGTAGTGCATCTTCAAAATGTTTGCCTTTCTAGTGGAATTTAAGAAACAAAACAAATGAACAAAGGGGGAAAGAAAAGAGAAAGGCAAACCAAGAAACACAGTCTATAGTTAACTATAGAGGACAAACTGATGGTTACCAAAGGGAGATAGGTAGGGAATGGGTTAAATAGGTGTGGGGATTAAGGAGGCCACTTGTCATGATGAAAACAAAGTGATATATGGAAATGTTGAATCACTATATTGTACACCTGAAACTAATATTACACTGTATGTTAACTAATTGGACTTTAAATAAAAACTTTTAAAAACTTGCCTTCCTAAAGAGTAAAAAATATCTCATGGTTTTGAATTTTATTTATTTAGTGAAATTAAGCATCTTTTTAAAAATGTATTTGTTATCAATTTCTGTAAATTATTGATTTATATGAATTCTTTGTAACTTAAGAAATGAAACCCTGTGACATGTGTTGAAAAATTTTCCCCAGCACCATTTATCTTTAGACTGTTAATAGCATTTTTTTTGCCATACATAAATTTTCAAATTTCATGTGGTCAAATTTAACTATTGTTTTAATTATATGGTCTCATTCATTTGGGGAATATAAAAAATAGTGAAAGGGAGTAGAGGGGAAGGGAGAGAAAATGAGTGGGAAATGTCAGAGAGGGTAACAGAACATGAGAGACTCCTAACTCTGGGAAATGAACAAGGGGTGGTGGAAGGAAGGGTGGGCGGGGGTTGGGGTGACTGGGTGATGGGCACTGGGGGGGGGCACTTGATGGGATGAGCACTGGGTGTTATGCTCTATGTTGGCAAATTGAACTCCAATAAAAAGAAATTAAAAAGAATATTGTTTTAGAATTTCTGGATTTTGTGTCCTGCTTCAAAAGACCTCCACTCCTCTAAAATAAAAATAAATTTATCACACCGTTTTC